CTCAATCTCCTGCTTTATGCTCTCTTCAATTGTATCTTCAGCCTCCTTATATTCCACCTCTGTTGAGACCTTGATGATCTCTTCTACCTCTTTCACGTTGATTTCAGCCTTTATTGGTGGAATTAGATTGTTCATTGCCTCTTTTTCTTTCTCTTTTTCGTCTTCTGGCATTTTGAGGTTTGTTTGCTGTTAAGTTTGTTTGTTGATACATAATGTAATACCGAATCAGTTGTATTTCATTATTAAATCTGTAATCCTGCGTCGGCTTCTCACTTAGATCCTACTTTGATGTTACCTGAATTATTTATCCATTTATGCTTCTAACTCATGTTGCATATACAACATATTGTACGTTTGAAACTAATCTAAATAGAATTATAGTTAAAGAATGTTCGCTAGGTAAATTGTAGCAGCTAAGAAGAGTTCAGAGCGTAAGGTAGAGATAACTTTTAAGGATCCTCAGGAGACTCATGACAAGAACAACAATTCCTTCTTTTATATGCAAAATAAGCTTAAAACGTGTTGGAAGACAGATTTGATTGTTCGTAATTGGTCATCAGGTTAGGGGTGAAACCTTAATTGAATATAAAGAGCAGAGACGACCAAGAGAGTGTGCTACTCCCGTCGACGACTAGAATAAAATTGAATTGGTCCGCGTAGCGTGTCCCGCATTGCTAGCAGAGCCTCTGGCCCTGTTTGTATCGTTTCTTCTTCGAACACGAGGTCTCGGAGGTTTCGTCTGGGGCACTGCTCGTCTCGCGCCTCTGTTTGAGATGTGTCAGGCATGATCAGTTCCTCATATTCGCTGTCTGATTCTTTCAACTATTCTTGGCATACTTTTGGTAAGAAATTTAGTAGCATTAGATACACTCTGTTACAAAAGTATTGAGACTGTTGCTAACCCTTCACAACATCATGTTGAACCATTTCACTCACCCTACGTACGTATCCTGATGTTAAAATTCCGTTTCTGTATGTAGATTCTCTTCTCCTGTCACATATGCCATGATAGGGGTAAAACTTTACATAGTAAACAAAAAAGTGTTACAAAAGTATTGAGACAAACGTTAAAATGCCTATTATAAGTAGTTTTGAGTTGTATCTATGTGTCATTGGTAGTTATTGGTATCTATTAACGATTGTTTTACCTGGATAGTTTAGTACAAAGAGACAGAAAACCATATTACACTTGATTAAATTCAAACCAATATTGATACCAATATCAAGGCTGTGAAGGTAGAAGGATATTTAATGGTTTAAATCAATGTTTATAAGCCATATTCAAGGTCTACGAAAGGGTCCGAGTCATTCGACTAAGTTTATTAAACGATTTTTGGAAATCAGTAAATGAAAAGCAATCGATCAAGTACACATTCACACTGGAACTAGGTAGTGATGTATCGTACTTTATTGTTCATCGTGTCTTAGTCATCTATGGGTGATGTACCTGACCCAGGCGCAATTATTTGCTGTTCCTGTCTAATATCGCAAAAANATATCAAGGCTGTGAAGGTAGAAGGATATTTAATGGTTTAAATCAATGTTTATAAGCCATATTCAAGGTCTACGAAAGGGTCCGAGTCATTCGACTAAGTTTATTAAACGATTTTTGGAAATCAGTAAATGAAAAGCAATCGATCAAGTACACATTCACACTGGAACTAGGTAGTGATGTATCGTACTTTATTGTTCATCGTGTCTTAGTCATCTATGGGTGATGTACCTGACCCAGGCGCAATTATTTGCTGTTCCTGTCTAATATCGCAAAAACATATTCGTTTAACGTTTGTTCATAATCCCTGATATCATGTTTCTGAATGAAATTGGGTGTTCTAGATGAAGAAAAGGCTTTAAAAACAACAGAAACGTTGTTATTCAACATCACGATCATGTTTTTCATAACAAAATCATATTTATTTACTAGAGAAATGTAATGTTTCGAATATTTCAATCTTTTATGTTGACAGCAATTCAGATGCAATATTCCTGAAGTTTATTAATATCAGAATGACTTATAATACTTATATATAACTTATATAACATACCATTACTTCGTTTATCATTATAAAACCTTATCAACACAAAAATCAGTATGATAACAATCTGCCCAAAACACATGAAAATATAAGAATATATAAGAAAGAATATGTAGTATAGTGATAGATCAGTCTTTAGCATCATCTAACTAAAAATGCATACGTTTAGGTGACCACTATGATATGAAATAACAGTAAACTTTATGAATTGATCAATCAGGTAAAAGTTGTGATTACGGAACACTTCAATGTAATCCGAGTTACATTAAGTATAAACAGGTTGTTTTGATATAGAATACCATCTAATAAGCGATCAAAATCCTGAAAAAGAATATTAAATTCTGAGTCTCAATACTTTTGTAACAGAGTGTAATTAGATGCTGGGGTAAATTTCTACTGTTTTCCTCCAGTTAATGGCGTGGCTTCAGGCTACGACATAAAGCTACTCACAAGTGTTTTACGGTGTCATGTTTGCTAGCTGATGTTATTTACCTTTGTTTACTTTTCTGGGTTGCCCTAATTTAGAACTCGGTCTTGTGCTGATAGATTGTCTTCTCCGGATTAGTGATGTTTAAAGATTTTCCTAGTCTTCTCCCCCACACTGCTATTTTCTTTATCTCTTTATTTCCTCTTGAGTATGAACTTGTGGATGAGGAATTACGCGTCAGGCATGATAATGTGTGTTGTTTTCTGTTCCCTCAGAGTCTTCTACCTGTTTAACAATCTTCTTCGAGGTTCCTATTTACTGATCATGGGGTTAAATCCCATCTCTATTTATACCTGTGACTGTTTATTTGTTTCTCAATAATCAATCAAACAATCACATGTCAACTTGCGGTTTTTCTAGGTTTTACCTTTAGGAGCAACCTGAGCGGCGTTAGCCACAGAGCGATTCCCAGAATCTGCTCCTCAACAAAACGGAAAATTATGTTAATTCATACACATAATACCATTTCAACATCTTTTTCCCTTTTGACAAATTTTACTCTCATTTCATGTTACTGAAAATAGCTGAACCACTTGCCGATGAAACAACGAGCAAGAGAATTCTAAAGGAAGTAATAAAGGCAGATACCAATCTGATATCCGGTATAAAAGCATGCACTAAGCAAATCACAGCCATTGAATCCAATAAGTCCATTTTTGTCATAAATGGCACTACTCAGCCTGCTGATCTGGTAATGCACCTTCCTGCACTATGTGAAGAGCATTCTATCCCGTATATATTCGTAGAAGACAGCAAATGG